AGAATCTGAAGCAGGTTCAGGCTCCAAGCTGTCAGCACACCGCCCGACGTGGGGCTCGAACTCACAAACCGTGGGATCATGACCTGAGCCGAAGTCGGACGCTTAACTGACTGAGCCGCCCAGGCGCCCCGAGAAGAGATGATTCTTATATTTGACCTTCAGTGATCTTTTAGGAAACGATTGAGAATAGGTTGCAGTTTTTTGTTGGCTTTAAAGGGCTGGCAGCCTGATGTGACGTGATCCAGAAGGAGTCACAGGGGTCTCAGCTGAACTGTTGCTTTTGTTACCTGCTAACTCACGAGGCGCACCCCCGTCTCCGTGGCCCTGAATTGCGAGGGTGTCATCGCCTCCCTCCCATCCCTGCCGCCGTGGTGTGGGCTCCGCAGCCAGAGCTGGAGCCCTCGGGCCCATCCTCGGCCCGGAGCGGACTCTCCCACGGTCCCCGCCGAGTGCGGTTCATCCCGGCTCAGCTGTCTCGTGCGCTGTCCCTCCGCCCGCGCGGTTTCCCATCTCGTCGTCCTGCTCAACACCTCCTTCTAGGTTGCCTCTCAGATTTGCCGTTTCTTAGCGGTCCCTCAGTGGCCGAGGCAGAGCACCCCTCTTTCCCCGCGCTTGGACCCTGTTTGTACCTCGGTGCACGGGGGTGGACTGTCCGCCTTGTTCAGGGTTACTGCTGAGTAACGGCGTCTGGGACACAGCGCGTCCTCAGTAAGCAGGCTTCTTTGTCCTCCCGCCGCACTGTGAGCTCCTGGGGAGCAGGTGCCGTACTTACTTTGAAAATATCTAGGGCCTAGCATGATACACGATTCGCTGAGTACCTGCTGAGTGAATAGATATTCCTCCTGTGCCTCGTTTGAATGTCTTTTGAATGGGGACCACGCCGAGCGGCTCTGGCCCTGATCCGGCACTTGGTTACTGTTCAGGGGCTGCATAGGGATGATCTACTTAATTTATAGACATCGATTGTGTGGTCTGTCGCCCTTTCCTTTGTGCTGGGCTGGCTTTTTACGGCAGCCTCTGTGTCCTGCTCTGATTACTTAGTTCACCTTTTCTCGACATTTTGTATCCTGTGCTCTGAACTCTGAACTTCTGAACTCTGTCAGATTTTGGTGATTAAGACTTTTTTCTGTGGCCTCCTTCTCCCCATCAGCCTCCTTTCTGGTATATCTTCCAAATTACTTATGTCTTATGAAGACAAAGAATTTTTTTGATTTCTCAAAATGTAAAATAATAATGTTCTTTTTTGAAGTAAATGGTCTACTGCTTAGTGGGTTAATAAGTTCTAGCCCACCCGTGTTCAGGTCCTGGACCTTCCACTTTCACACCGCGACGAGGGAAGCCCTCCGTCCACGTTGGCCTCTGCGTGTTGCACCCGTGTCCTCCCCTCGTCCCTCCTGTGTAGGGCACGGTGCTTGGGTGTAGACAAATCAGTGCTGGTGGCAGCCAGTGCTGTTCTTAGAGTTGACTTTGTGGTGTGCCTGACTTGATGTGCGAGTTTGGCTGACCCCTCCCTGTAGCCCCTTTTCTTTTCCCTGCAGGATATTTCAGGAGCATGAGTATTCTCTGAAAGGCCTTTTCGGTTTCCAAAGTACAATTTTATTGTTGAAGTTACATATCAGGCTTTGGTGTGTGTCTGTATATCCAGTATTTTGGATTGCTTGCTATACTTCCTTTATTCTTTTTTTTTTTTTTTTTCATCGTTTATTTATTTTTGGGACAGAGAGAGACAGAGCATGAGCGGGGGAGGGGCAGAGAGAGAGGGAGACACAGAATCGGAAACAGGCTCCAGGCTCCGAGCCATCAGCCCAGAGCCCGACGCGGGGCTCGAACCCACGGACCGTGAGATCGTGACCTGGCTGAAGTCGGACGCTTAACCGACTGTGCCACCCAGGCGCCCCCCTTTATTCTTTTTAAATGAATTGTCTTTTGAGTAGGAGACTGTGTGGCTCCTGAGCACAGGTAGGAGGAGTGACCTTCATGTTTATACGATGTCCCGTGTCCAGGGAATTTGACTTACAGGCCATGAGAAGTTAAGAATACTCAACCGTCAACACGGCCAGCACTGTCTCTTGTGCTTGTGTGGCGCCTCCCACATCATAAGCTTCAGACTTAAATAGAATTTGTAAGAAATTCTAGTATTGAGTTAGAATCTAGTTGTGTGTTTTGATAGCTAGCACCTGTTTTGATTTCGAAGCTATCGATGCCTCGGTACCGTGTTGCTGGAACCCAAAGGTGCTTTTCAGCTGGTGTGCTCACTGCGTCTTTTAGACTGCTTTGTTCTACTTAAAGGAAGTGCTCATCAGTCATCTCGTAAGCATTTGTTGGATACATACGCACGCCGGATGTGGAAGTAAATGAGAGCAGCGAGGCGGAGGGAACCATGAAGTCCTGGAGCCCGCAGTACTGGGCTTTGGGGTTAGTGAGGCTGATGAGCTCGTTTGTGTGGGCAAGTAAATCTGGTGCCTGTTTCGCCAGCGTGGACCATTTTGGCTTGTTTAATTTCAGACACGAAATATGTTTTTTCATAGTTGTACCAGGGTATACCATTTTAAGAAATCTCAGCTCTTTAGCTATAACCAAATAATGAACATATATTAAATCTGGACAAATGGAGATAGAAGGAAAAGAAATTATGGACACAGGGATAATGGCTAGAAATTGGTCTATATTATTCTCTAGAAGCTGTCCATAATTCTGAGCATCATAACTTTGCACTTTTTACTATATAGAGTTTCCATTCTCCCTACTCCTTTTAATTAAAATTTAAAACAAAATATTTTTCTGACTTTCAACATGTGGTAGATAAAGGCTTTTTATTTGAAATTCAAGAAATGAAATTTTCTTTTAAAGTTTATTTTGAGAGAGAGTATATGTGCACGCGTGTGCATGAGCAGGGGAGGGGCAGAGAGAGGGAGAGAGAGAATCCCAAGCAGGCTCCGCACTGTCAGCACAGAGCCTGATGCAGGGCTTGAACCCACAAACTGAGATCATGACCTGAGCTGAGATCGAGAGTGGATGCTTAACCGACTGAGCCACTGAGGCACCCCAAGAAATGAAATTTTCTATAGTGGAAAATGGAGGATTTCTTTTCTTTCTTTAATGTTTATTTATTTTTGAGAGACTCAGATAGAGACAGAGCATGAGTGGTGTAGGGGCAGAGAGAGAGAGGGAGACACAGAATCTGAAGCAGGCTCCAGTCTCTGAGCTGTCCGCACAGAGCCCGACCCGGGGCTCAAACCCACGAACCATAAAGTCATGACCTGAGCCGAAGTCGGACACTTAACCGACTGAGCCACCCAGGCACCACTGTCCCCCCCCCCTTTTTTTGAGTAAGCTCTACTCCCTACGTGGGGCTTGAATTCATGACCCCAGGATCAAGAGTCGCACGCATGGCCTACTGACTGAGCCAGCCAGGTGCCCTGGATTTATTTCTTTGGTTTCAATTTTGTCGGTGAGAAATTTTTCATTCTGCACACTGTTGATTCACATATCAATGTATAATTTTTTTAATGTTTATTTATTTTTGGGAGGGAGAGAGAGAGAGCACGTGCACACACAGGCAGGGGAAGGGTAGAGAGAGGGGGACAGAGGATCCAAAGCGGGCTCTGCACTGACAGCAGAGAGCTGACGGGGGGCGGGGGGGTGGGGGCTCAAACTCCTGAACCAGGAGATCATGACATGAGCCGAAGTCGGACACAACCGACTTGGCCACCCAGGTGCCCCTCTCAATGTATAATTTTAAATTGGCTTAATTACTGGGGCGCCTGAGTGGCTCAGTCGGTTGAGCGTCCGACTTCAGCTCAGGTCACGATCTCGCGGTCCGTGAGTTCGAGCCCCGCGTCGGGCTCTGTGCTGACAGCTCGGAGCCCAGAGCCTGTTTCGGATTCTGTGTCTCCCTCTCTCTCTGCCCCTCCCCTGCTCATGCTCTGTCTCTCTCTGTCTCAAAAATAAATAAAAACATTAAAAAAAATTTTTAATTGGCTTAATTACTTGCCTTCTGACACTATTTTGATGGTGTGTTTGTTTTTGTTAAGAAATGTATTTATTTTTGTAATGATTCATATATAATGTCTTGGGCTGTTAGTTTTAGTTTGAATTACATTTGTAAAAATAAAATGCCCATTCACTGTAAACTGGAACACTTCGGGGGAGAGGAGAGTTGTCTTTATGTATTTGTATTTTATTAGGAATGTTTAACTTTCCCATTGATTGCTTTGGTTCCTTCTACATACCGAGTAATTTTGTTCAAAATTTAGTTTTACTTATGATGAAAAAAGATTTCTTTTAACATTCAGTAACAGTACAGAAATTGTTTTATCAAAATTTTTATTGAGATAATTGTACATTCATGTTCAGCTGTTAGGAATAATACAGAAAGCTCTCTTGTTTGCATTGCCTGATTTCCCCTGGGAGTTGTATTTTGCAAAACTAGTGTGATAATCACAACCAGGATATTGACATTGATATAATGCATTGACATTATTATTTTTTTTTTTTAATTTTTTTTAACGTTTATTTATTTTTGAGACAGAGAGAGACAGAGCATGAACGGGGGAGGGGCAGAGAGAGAGAGGGAGACACAGAATCGGAAGCAGGCTCCAGGCTCTGAGCCATCAGCCCAGAGCCCGATGCGGGGCTCGAACCCGCGGACCGCGAGATCGTGACCTGAGCCGAAGTCGGACGTTTAACCGACTGAGCCACCCAGGCGCCCCTGCATTGACATTATTCAGATATTTCTGGTTTCACGTGAAGTCTCTTGTGTGTGTAAAGAAATCAGAGTTTATTCCTGGAAAACTACTGTTAGTTAAAATACTCACTTTAATTAGATCTGTCATCTGGCAGGAGGGAACCATATAACCTCGTGTGCTCAGATTTCTCATTAAGTCAGAATGTTTGTATGATGCTTAGAATCCCTTTTGGGTCAAAACATTCTATAATTTTTGTATGAGAGCATTTTAGAATTTGAAATTACAACCTTCTTTCTCTTTTTTTGTGTTTAGGAAGAAAAGGCTTCTCTTTTACATCGTACTCAGGAAGAAAGAAGAAAGAGAGAGGTAAAAACAGTTTTATAATAGTCTCTTTAGATAAACATTTTTCCATAGCATTTAAATAAGGGTTGATTTTGCTGTTATATATATGCATGGTATGCATATGCATATATACATATTTTTACATCTATGAAACTTTAGAAACATTTCTGGATTTTTTTGGATTTTATAATAAGTAATTTATTCTGGAACCACTGTGGAAAAGATGGACTACAAGGGCAGTTTCCAGAATACAGGGGGAAAACAGGCTTTTATAAAGTTCAGTTGCTTGCTTGTGATATGGTTTCCAGAAGATCTGGAAAGACTTAGTATATAACGCTCATCTTTTGCCAAGCAGAAGAAGCAAACTCACTCTGAAGGCGGTTACCATAACTCTTTGTGAACAAGTAAAATAGATGAAAGGAGCTGTGACATTTGTTGTTTTATTCTTTCTCTTTTTAAATATCTGTTTATTTATTTTGAGAGAGAGTGCACACACATGCGCACATGTGGAGGAGGGGCAGAGGGAGGGAGAGAGGATGATCCCAGGCAGCCTCCGTGCTGTCAGCACAGAACCCGACACGGGGCCCGGTCCCACGACCCCCGAGGTCATGACCTCATGACACCAAGAGTCAGATGCTTAACTGGCTGAGCCACCTAGGCGCCCGTCTTATTCTTTATTTTACATTTCATCTTTCTGGTGACAGTGGCTTTATTTTATTGATTAATCGGCAATTGTGGTATTTTAGGCCTAATTTTCTAGATTTTTATTTTGTTTTCTAATAATTCATTTGTTCCTTTAAGAAATACTAATTGAGAGCTTGTTACATTCCAGGGACTGCTCTGCCTACAGGGGACACAGATAGTAAATAAGACCATGTTCTGGGCGCTTGGGATTCTCTCCCTCTCTCTGTCCCTCCCCCCCGCTCATCATGCACTTGCACACTTTCTTCTCTCTCTCAAAAAAAAAAAAAAAAAAAAAAAAAGCTTAAAAAGGGCGGATAATGTTCTTGTGTGGTTATAGAACACAGAGATTCACCAAGCTATTGAGACTGTGCTAAGTGCTGTGAGTGAGGTAGAGTGAGGTGATAATAACTGGGAAGGCCTGCTTTCGGGTAGGGCATTCAGGGAAGGACTCTCCGAGCTGGGTAGAGAGTTGAGCAGGATTCCTGAAGGAGGAAAAAGAAGCTCCTATGGAAAGCTGGAGGAAGAACTTTCTTGGTGCAGGAAGCAGCAAATATGGAGACTTTCAGGCGGGGTTTCTCACCCTCAGCACTGTTGACATCTTGGACTCATTAATTCTTTGTTGTGGGGCTTTATCCTGTACATCGAGGGGTGTGTAGCAGCCTCCAGGGCCTCTGTTCTACCCACTAGATGCCACAACACTCCCTCCCTCTGGTTGAGATAACCAAAAATGTCTCCAGAAGTTACCAAATGTGGTAAAATTGCTCACAGTTGAAAATGACCATTTATTGGTTAATGTCTTTTATCTTTTCTGGAAAACTCTCAGCTCTCATCTCTTCCAATAGTGTTTTAGCTCCATTCTTCCTCTCCTCTTCTTGGACTCAGATTACTTATGTATTTGACCTTGGCCTTATCCCGTACTCTTCTGTATATTTATCCTTTTGAATATTTCCGCTTTGGTTTGGGTATTTCTTCTGACCTAACTTCTAATTTACAGATTATCTCTTTACCAGTGTCTGATTGTCACATAATATCCATTAACCTGTGGATCAGAGTTTTATTTTAGTTGTAGAATTTTCTTTGATTCTTTTAATTTTATGAACATTTTAATTTTAATTGTCTTTTAATTTCGTGAATATAACTGTAGATTATTAAAGATAGTTTTTAAGCTCCAGTATTTGGATCACCTGTGGGTTTGTTGTTTGTCCTCTTGATTTTTAGTTCTTGTCTTTTGCCCGATTGTTTTGGTTGAATACTGACATTCTGTATTCCAAAATGAAGAGAGATCTGCAGGCTCTCGATGATGATCTCTTCTTTCTGGAAAGCATTGCATTTGATTTTGGCTGGCAGTAGGGAGAGGGATGGGTCGCCTTTAAATAATACAGAGTCGAGCTGATCTACAGCTGGTCTTCAGTCCTTGTCAGGATCCGTCTGTTTCCAGTCCAGCTGTGATGCAGCCGTTAGGTCCCGTCCCAGCCAGGACGCTGGGATGTCACCGAGACTTCCTCCTCGGTGAACAACCGAATGCATAAAAATAGTTAGAAAACTCCTGGGACAGTATATGGGTCTTTAATTAGGTGCTCTTAGAATCATCGTAGTAGTGAATAGAGTCCCAAACTAGGTTTAAGCTCAGGGCTTCCTTCGCTGTAACCACTTGAAGCTCAGAAAGCACGCTTGCGCGACCTGATTGGTCTTCTGGGTGAGTGTGTGTGTGCCTTTCAGGCCTGGCAGGTGGCACTCACCTGCCAGGTGGCATAGCATGAGACGGTGTCACGTGGTAAGATGGGCACAACTTTTAGTGTCACGCCTGAGTGTGAATCCTGACTCCCTTAGGTCTTTCGGCACCGGTGTCTTTATGGAAATTTCAGCTTCTGCATCATGAAACCGGGAGTGACGTTCATCTAAGGTTGTCAGGCGTCTCGGGGTTGGCGCGTCGTAGACTTTCAAGCGGTGGTGGCTACGTGGCTTGCGATGATGATGTGAAAAAAAAATTTGTTTTGCTAGGTCACTGGAAATTTTCAAGACAGTCTTAGGTCAGTCAAAACTAGAGTTTCCGCTTTGAAATGAGAAAGTGACTTTTAAAATTGATGTTCGTGTCGTCCGTTTTCCTTCCTGTATTGAAAACCGCAGTTGTTGGAAGTCTCACTGTGCTGGGAGGAGTGGAAGGTGGTGTCGCCATTTTGGCAAACAGTCCGGTAGCTCCTCACGTGCCAGTCCTGCTCGTGGGCGTGCACCCAAGAGAAACGTAACCGTGTCCACGCGAAACTTGGACATGAGTGTGTGCGGCAGCGATGTTCGCAGCAGCCCAGAGTGGGAACCGCCCGAGTGTCTATCGGGCGGTAAATGGTAAACCGTGGGACGGCCGCACAAGGAAATACCCTACGTACTGGCCGTAAAAAGTAGTGGAGTACCGACACGTGACACGACACGGCTCCGCCTTGAAAACGTCGTGCCAGGTGAACAAGGCCTGACACAAAAGGCCGCGCGTTATCTGCCTCCACGATAAGAAATGTCCGGAATAGGCAATCCCGTGCAGACGGAAATTCGGTCAGTGGTTGCCACGGATGTGGGGGGACCCGGGAGAGGGAACGAGAGACGAGTGCTAATGGGAACGGGGTGTGGAGTGGCTGATGAAAGTATTCTCAAATTAGATGGTGGTGGTAGTTGAACCTTGAAGATATTAAAGACTGGTAAGCGGTACGCTTGAAAGATTGAATTTTGTGGTATGTAAATTCTGTAGTTGTTTTTTTTTTAAGTCTTTACTAGCTAAATGTCAATTCACTCTGACCAATTGTTCCTTCCTCCCTTCATCATGCAGGAGGAAAGGCGAAGGTTGAAAAATGCAATAATCATACAGTCATTTATCCGAGGCTATCGAGACCGGAAACAGCAAGTAAGTTTGCTTTCAAGCTGAGAAAGAGTTGGAAAGGCCTGCCAGAGTTTGTTTCAGATAGGGCCTCGGAGTCTTAGAAGTGGAATCGTTTTGTGGGGATTTTAGTACACCTGTTTCATGACAGTTAATGTTGATAATAGCGTTTCCCCCAGAAATTAACCGTATTCGTTTATATTTACGTAAAGATTTACAGATAGGGGAGTTTTGAGGTGATTTTTAAATAATAAAAATAGAAACACGGGCTGCGGCTCAAGATCAAAGCGGAAGGAGGCGGCGGAAGACCATTTTAGGGGAGTGGAGGGTTTTTATTCCAATCCAGGTTTCCTGGGTTTCATTTCCCCTTTTCCCAAGAGCTGCCCCATCATGGCCCCCTCACTGCGCCCCCGCCGTGCAGACCCCAGGGCGCATGTGGACCGCGCCGCCCGCCCGTCACGCCCGTCACGCCCGTCACGCCCGTGTGTGGTTTCTCTCGTCTCCAGCACTCCATCCAGAGAAGCGCCTTTGACCGCTACGCCAGCGCCTCGCAGTCCGGTGGCACTTTCTCCATTGCCAGTGGTCCCAACCTTACCCTTTTGGTGAGGCGGCTTCTGTTTTTCTACAAACAGAACGAAGACTCAAAACGTTTGGTGAGTGTTAACTGTGTTCTCACTTACCCCTATTTATGGATTTTCCGGTGTTTTTTTTTTTAATGGGGCCAGATAACCCTGCAAAGGCATACGTCTTTCTGAACTTCCCTCAGCCCGCCACGGTAGGTCATCTTTGTGGTGTTGCGTTTCACCTCTTAGAGAGCGATAGAAATTTTCAGTAGTTTTTTTCATTTTTTTATTATGGAAAATGTCAAATATAAGAAAAAGTAGAATAATCTGGTGAGCCATCCTCCACGTACCCATTACTCAGCGTTGGTAGTCAGCAACACCTCTCTCACCCAGAGCCCCACGTACCTGTGCCTTCAGTCACTCTTGTGATGCGCACCTAAATATCATAGCATGTTATCTGTAAATATTTTAAAGTGTATTTACTGGGGGGAGGGGGGGGGGTAGAGAGAGAGGGAGAGAGAATCCTAAGCGGGCTCCGTGCTGTCAGTGTGGAGCCAGACGCCAGGCTTGACTTCACAGATGGTGAGATCATGACCTGAACCTAAATCAGGAGTCCCAGACACTTAATGGACTGAGCCACCCAGGTGCCCCTGTAAATACTTTAATATGAATCTGTGACCTACAGGGCCTTGCTCTTAAAACATTCAGAGGGCTACTGGAGGGGTTGTGGGAGGGGGGATGGGCTAAATGGGGAAGGGGCATTAAGGAATCTACTCCTGAAAGCATTGTTGCACTATATGCTAACTAATTTGGATGTAAGTTTAAAAAAAAAAATAAAATAAAAAAAATTAAAAAAAACAATTAAAGTTAATTTCTAAAAAACAAATTCAGAATATAATTGTAGTACTTTAAAATTTTATAGGCTTCTGATGTAATCAGTGATGAGGAACAGTGTTGAAAAATACCTATGGATGCATAGATGAATAAACTTTTAAAAAATGTAACTTGTTACTATGTCGTCTCTCAGGACATATTAAGAGATTTCTGTGTAACTCGTTTGGTTAGATACGTATTTATTCTCGGAAATTCTTGTTTACTTGTAATAAAAATTTCAGATTATATTAAACTTGGTACACAATGAAAAGTCAGTCTTCCACGCCCCAACCATATATACTAGAAAATCCCCAGAGGAAATGTAAATACAGAGGACAAAGGGACACTTTATTGTGGATCTGGTGTTTGGTTTTAATTTTCTTTAATTATTCTGGAGTTAATAATTGCCTCACTTTTGTTTAATTTTCTTGGGGTCTCTTGATAAAGTCGTCTTCCACTTTTGACAGGACTATGATGCTTCTCAGTGTAAATTTCCGTGACTGAAGATGTCAGTCAGGTAGTCTGATGCTTTGTTTTCCCAGGAGCTATTCTTGGATTTCCGAAACCTTTGCACCAGTTTGGATCCTTTGCCTCAAATTATCTTGGGAAAGTCACTCGCTTTGCTTCAGTTTTGGATCCTCCTTCCTGATTCCATTATCTTTTTGCTTTCTTTGTTTACTCCCTTCATATCCTCAGTTGACTTCCCAAGAAAGGGTGAATAAGGTGTTTTTAAAACTTGACGCATCTGCGTTTAGGAAATAATAACAATAAGTTAGGCAAAGTAAGTGTTTAAAGTAGTGATAGTACAGCCTTTCGGATGCCGTTGGTACATTTGTCAGGGTTGTAAAATACGGTATCCGAACGCAGTCCAGAGTGTTTAAGTGTCACTACTGCTTTGGGCTTTCTTATTTCATAGGCAACTTGAATCATAATTACTTGATTAATATATTTGCACCTTAGTCTTGAAGTTTCTATAATTGCCCTTTAGATTTTTCTAATGTTTAGTTACAGTACATGCTATTTTATTTGTTACTAGATGGCACATAATTGAGAATGAACTGCATGTCAGATTGGCAGAAAGTCTTGTATCCTATTAGTTCCTGAGAAAAGACGGACAGGTTAGCTCCAGACACCTCGTGAAGAAAGCTTGTGTGTAGGCAAGTTCATACTTGGAATGGGTCACAGAAATGATTTTCCCGAAACTTAGAACACGCTCTTGTTTTATAAAACGCTTTTGCGGGGCGCCTGCCTGGGTGGCTCAGTCGGTGAAGCGTCCGACTTCAGCTCAGGTCGTGATCTCGCGGTTTGTGAGTCCGAGCCGCATGTCGGGCTATCTGCTCTGAGCACGGAGCCCGCTTCGGATCCTCTGTCCCCCTCTCTTTCTGTCCCTCCCCCACTTGCATGTTCTCTCTCTCTCTCTCTCTCTCAAAACTGAACATTAAAAAAAAAAAAAAATGCTTTTGGGCGCCTGGGTGGCTCAGTCGGTTGAGCGTCCGACTTCAGCTCAGGTCACGATCTCGCGGTCCGTGAGTTCGAGCCCCGCGTCGGGCTCTGGGCTGATGGCTCAGAGCCTGGAGCCTGTTTCCGATTCTGTGTCTCCCTCTCTCTCTGCCCCTCCCCCGTTCATGCTCTGTCTCTCTCTGTCCCAAAAATAAACGTTAAAAAAAAAAATAAAAAAAAAAAGCTTTTGCGTGAATATTTTGTCTGATAACAATTTTATATGAAATAAGTGTTCCTGTCAGAGGAGAAACGCCTTAAAGATAACAGGCAGAGGGAAGGTTATGTGGCACATTGATAAGTAGCCACATTTAAGAAGCCGTCTTAATTTTAACTCGTTCTAATGGGTCTCATGAAGTGAACAAAAAACAGTTTTATGAAAATGTGGCAGAGAAAGTAGAAGAGATTCCTTGTTAAGTCCTGAGTTTTCGAAATCATTTCTGGTAGCCACGCCCATAGTAGGTAGGCCTCCAGGGTGCAAGTCAGACAGAAATCCAACTCAGCATCCGCGGAGTTCACTGACCAGTCGTTGTGTCCAGGAGACTGGGCAGTTCTGGCCACATCCCTGACTTTTTTTCCCCCCAAATCTACTGAGGTATAGTTGACAAGTAAAGCTGTAGGATAGTTAAAGGGTACACCATGATGATTGGACGAATATCGACATTGTGAAAGGATCTCTCCCTTCTCCATCGCCTGGCATCCTACATGGAATAGTGGGGCCCTGTGATTGCCTTTCCTACCCAAATTTCATGGACTTAGGGAAGGGGAATATCCAAAAGGAAAGGATGCTGGAGAGACAGAGGCAAAAAGTAAAAAGAAGAAACTGATATCCTTATGTACGTTATGATTAATACTATAGTTCTCATTTATTTTTCACTGTGGATTGCTGATTGTTGCAAATGAACTGTTGTTAGTTCAGATTCAGATGAGTCTTTTTGTTAATGTTTGTTGATTCATTTTTTGAGAGAGAGAGAGGGAGACACAGAATCCGAAGCAGGCTCCAGGCTCTGAGCCGTCAGCACAGAGCCCGACGTGTGACTCGCACTCACGAACCTTGAGGTCGCGACCTGAGCCGAAGTCGGGTGCTCAACCGACTGAGCTGCCCAGGCGCCCCTAGAAGATTTACTTTTTATCATGTTTGATTAAGTATCTCCTTACAATTCAGGAAATTTGGAGTGTTATGCAATGCAGTAAACAGTGAGCTTTTATGGATTGAGAGTGACCTATACGTATGTTTTGCTGTTTCAGATATGGATGTATCAGAACTTAATTAAACACAGCTCTCTGTTTGTCCAGCAGTTGGATGGATCTGAGAGACTTACATGCTTATTTCAAATAAAGAGATTGATGAGCCTCTGCTGCAGGTAAATCCCATCTAGTCAGCTCCTTGCTACAGGTGTGCCATGTGTTGAAGGCGTCTTTGAAGATGATAGGCACTGGGAGAGATCCAGGCATTGTAAGAATCCTACACGATGCTTGCGATCGTTGATTTTTTTCGTCTGTTTCTCCCTTTGTGATTGTGCATTTTTCCTCTCCGTGAACCCAATGCCGCCATGCTGATTGGCCCATAATAAGCACTGCAAAAAAATGTGAGTGACAGAACGTGTGATTATTTTCCTGTCTACCTTTGAGTCCTGCTTCTGTTCCGAGACACGCGCTAGCAGAGCAGAGTGGTTCGGGCCTTGCTGTAGTGAGCGAGAATAATTGAAGGGGGCTCAGGGTGACGTTCGCCATCCAGTACACGCGTGAAGACTTTTTTCTTTTTTACAGGTTATTGCAGAACTGTAATGACGACAGTTTGAATGTTGCACTTCCAATGAGAATGCTCGAGGTGTTTTCGTCTGAGAATACTTACTTGCCTGTTTTACGAGACGCCAGCTACGTGGTGTCCATAATTGAACAGATTTTGCACTACATGATTCAAAATGGTAAGTAGCAGCCAGGCTCAGGGCTGTGGGTTGGCGTTACCGTGCGAGTGCGCGCAGTGGGGTACTCTGTGCGGCTTGCGCACGGGCTCTGGACCCCCACATGGGACGGACCGGGCGCCGTGCCCTACCGGGGGTGTGCACCGCTGAGGGGTGTGTGCCCGATTTGTCCTGGGCTCCACCCGCCCCGAACACCTGGATGTGCCCACTGGATATGTAAAGCAGGCTTTACACTTGCCTGCTGCTTGAAAATGAAGCAAACGGACGCAGGCCGTCGGAAACCTCTCCGGGTCCTCCCACAGCCGGTCCTCCCGCGTCCTGAGCTGGTAGGAGCGTCGGTGCCGCGAGTCCGTGAGCTCTGGCAGCGGGAAGCCTGTCTCAGGAAAAAGCACACTTTGTCTTCATGTCGGTTCAGTGGAGGAGAGTTAAAGATACTTCGTTGGTTTGGATTTTCTTACTGACCGGGTGTGAGAGCTTTTATGCCCCGACACCCTTCTGAACGTGCCTGTCACGTGACACATAATGACCTGGGTCTGAAATTCTTGTGCAGACACATCAGTGACTCTGTTTCGGAGAAAGACTATGAAACACCCATGGTTTCTAAAGCTTTTATGACAAATGAAGCGGGGTGTGAAACACACATTTAAAAATCTGGTTCCCAGTGTTCTCACAGGTCAAACCCTTCAGGGTGTGGACTTCAGAGGTTTTAGTGGTAGGAGGAGCTATAGGTGATTCTGGAATGCAGTAGTCACTGATGAAAACATAAATAAGTTTCCTTTTGTTTTTTGGAGGTGATGGGTTAATCTAGGCTAAATCTAGCTAGTTGAATCCTCAGTACAAAAACTGTAAACATTAAGTTCTTACACCCCCCAACCTTACTGTTTGGTTTAAAAAGAAAGAAAGTGGGGCGCCTGGGTGGCGCAGTCGGTTAAGCGTCCGACTTCAGCCAGGTCACGATCTCGTGGTCCGTGAGTTCGAGCCCCGCGTCAGGGCTTATGGCTCAGAGCCTGGAGCCTGTTTCCGATTCTGTGTCTCCCTCTCTCTCTGCCCCTCCCCCGTTCATGCTCTGTCTCTCTCTGTCCCAAAAATAAATAAACGTTAAAAAGAAAGAAAGAAACCCTACTTCATTTGTTGAAAAATTAGGGAGTCAACTAAAAGTAATTTAAATTTGTGCAATTTGATCTTTGAAAACACAACTTAATGGTAATTAGAAATGGTCCTTTGTACCAGTCGATGCATTATTATGCGTGTTGATTTAAGGCTGAGCAGTCAGTGAGAATCTTTAGTTTTCTTGTTTTCCAAAAGTATAAAGAAGATAACTAAGACTGCGTTGTTTTGTGTCGAGAACTAGAAAATGGTGCCAAGTCTCACACCGAAACCGCCACTTGTAGCTTCTAGCATCTTCTGTTGTAAAGGCACGTGGTTGTTTTGATAAATTACTTCCTGACTTTTTTTTCTTTCATTGCTGAACTACAGCTAACCTACAGTTATGTTAGTTTCAGGTGCAACAGTTCTGAACAAGCACCAGTGCTCGCCACGATAAGGGCGATCACCAGCCGTCACCACGCGACATTTCTGTTCCCTATGCTCCGCTTTTCACCTCTGTGACTTCTTTATTTAACTGGAAGCTCGTACCTCTTACTTCCATTCACCTGATTCTCCCTCACAGTATTAGTCTATAAAGTTTTGGCATTACTTATTAATTATAGTTTCTATTATACGTTACGAGCTGTGACTTAACGTGAAGCTTTTTAACAAACGCACTGAACTTAGTTCTCTAGTCACGTTGTCAGTTAATCTCTTCAATACTTACTTAGATTGATGTTGATACATTAATGCTCTAATATTTAAAAAATTTTCTTGACGTGGTGTTTTTTAAAATTCTTGATAGATTCCCTATGCTGTACTTTTTTAAATCTCTGTGACTGAATTATTTTATGACTGGAAAATTGTATCTCTTAATCCCCTTAATCTCTTTCACGCACTTAGATCTTTTAGTTTCATAGCAGAGGAGCTTCAAGCTTCCCTGTTTCACTAGTGATCAAAACATATGAGGTTTGAAATGGGTATAGTTACAAAGTAGTTCTAAAGAGGGCGGCCCCGCTGGCTCAGCTGGTAGAGCAGGTGACTCTTGATGTCGCGGTTGTGAGTTCGAGCCTCATGTTGAATGTAGAGATTACTTAAAATCTTCAAAAAAAAAAAAAAAGTCTAGAGTACGGAGTAGTCAGTGTTTATGGTCATAAGGTCATAACTCAAGTACAGATCTATGTAGGACTGTTTTCATAAAGTAAACCAAGCAAATGGATTTTATTTTATTTTATTTTACTTTACTTCATTTTATTTTATTTTATTTATTTTATTTTTTGAGAGGGAGAGCACAGGAAGTGAGGGGGGAGGAAAAGAGAGGGAGAAGGAGAGAGAGAATCTTAGACTGTATACCCAGTGCGAAGTTGGATGCAAAAACCTAACTTTTGCAGGGCTCGATCTCACAACAGTGAAATCGTGACCTGAGTCATACGCTTAACTGTCTGAGCCACCCAGGCACCCCAGATTGTGTTTTTAATGTGCACCACCAAATGTGTCTGGACAATATTGAGATGTTCACGATCTACACCTGAAGATTGTCCCTATTGCTTTATAAAAAAGTGACAAATACATATAAAGACTGAATGATTTGGATCATTGGTGATACCAGAGTTGATGTTTACTGCACCCAGAAATCCCATCAGAAGTTTAGAAAGGTCATGAAAGTTGTTACTTCTGCGTAAATGCTCTGGTGCCCATATTACGGTCTCCAAAGGTGTCATTTCCTCTAAAAGGAACTTAAGAGTCCCTGGGGGAAAGATGAATCTGGAGGTGCTCCTGGCGAACGTTGGAGCTCAGGGCCCCCCTCCCATAGGTCACTCCGTTGTCCAAAGATAGGACGATTTGAGAGTCATTGAGGTAATGACTGCAATGGATTGAAATAACACCAACGTACTCAAGTCTGTGAGTACATGTGGTTCAGAAGTCACAAAACCAGCTGCATACTTGGAAGATGCGTAAGAGGCAGATAAAAACCACCATAATATATGGGCCTTAATTGGATCCTGATTCAAACAAACGAGTTAAATAAGATTTTAGCATGAGAAAGTTGGAGATTTGAACACCCACTAGATACTTGTGATAGCAAGGAATGACTATTAATTTGTTTTAGCTGTCGTAATGATATTTTTTAAATGTTTGTTTATTTTGAGAGAGAGAGAGAGGGAGATACAGAAAATCCCAAGCAGACTGCACGCCCAGCACAGGGCCTGATAAAAGCTTGATCTCACAACTGTGAGATCATGACCTGAACCGAAATCGAGTTGGATACTTAACTCACTGAGCCACCCAGGTTCTCCTGTCATAATGGTATTTTTAAGAAAAATGAAGTCCTTTGATGATATACTAAAATAATTATATCTTAGATTCGCTTCCCAGTGAATGGAGGAGTGGGTTATGGGCTATAATTGATAATTGTTGATGGAGGGTGATGGGCACATGGAGTTTATATGCCATTTCAAGCTGCTTATGTAATTAATTTTTTCCTGAATAAAAAGTTCAAGAGGCACCTAGGTGGCTCAGTCAGTGATGCATGTGACTCTTGATCTTGGGGGTGAGTTCGAGCCCCATGTTGGGTGTAGTGATTACTTAAAAAAACGTTAAAACTTAAAAAAAAGAAAAAAAGGAGCCAATAGCTGAGCTATTAAAAAGTTGAGGGGCGTCTGGGTGGCTCAGTGGGTTAAGTGTCTGACTCTTGATTTTGGCTCGGGTCATGATCCCATGGTTTTGAGATCAAGGCCTGCATCAGGCTTTGGGTCAGGCTTCGAGCTGGGCAGGGACCCTGCTTAAGATTCTATCTCTTCCGGGGCACTGGGTGGCTCAGTTGGTTAAGTGTCCGACTTCAGCTCAGGTCATGATCTCACAGCTCATGATTTCAAGCCCCGCGTCAGGCTCTGTGCTGACGGCTGAGAGCCTGGAGCCTGTTTCAGATTCTGTGTGTCTCTCTCTGTCTGCCCCTCTCCCGTTCATGCTCTCTCTGAAAAATAAGTAAAATATTAAAAAAAAAAAAATTATCTGTCTTCCTCTCTCTCTCTGTCCCTCCCCCACTTGCACAAATGCTGTCTCTCTCCCTCTCCGTCTCTAAAAAAAAAAAGTTGAAGAATTAACTTAAATTTGGACATATATTTATCAAAAGCATTTAAAAATTGACGCTTTTTTCCCTCTCTTTATGATGAAGGTACCAAATTTTAAATATGTGCTTTTCCTTTCTTTTAGGGTATTATAGATCTCTCTATTTGTTAATTAACAGCAAGCTTCCATCAAGTATTGAATATTCTGATATATCTCGAGTTCCTATAGCAAAAATTTTGCTAGAGAATGTTCTGAAACCATTGCACTTTACTTACAACTCGTGTCCTGAAGGTGCAAGGTGAGAATGGAATAATTTATTGATTTTGTAAGGTCACAAGTTCTGTATCTAATGATAACTTTTACATAGTATGCTATTTTACATAAAGATTTGAAAGTCAAATTTTTACTTTATTAACGTGACTCAGTTTAAAAAAAAATTACTATCTGTTTGGCCTGTGCCCTAACATAAACTTATAATTCTGATGACCTGGTTGTTTTCCTGCTCTGAGTAGCTATTGAAAGATCGAAAGACGCAGCAGAGTTTTCTCAGTAGGGAAGGCACAAAATCGGTTAAGTAAATTTCATGGCGACCTGGTTGGTTTTGGATGTTCAGCTTCATTTAATTTAGAAGAGAATATTTGGAAAGTTAATTTTCATCAGTGATTTTATGAATAACATGTTTTGGTGAAAGCTTCCATTTTCCTTTTTCAGGCAACAAGTTTTTACAGCCTTCACCGAGGCGTTTTTGGTGGCACCTTTTACAGATCAGATTTTTCACTTCATCGTTCCGGCCTTAGCAGACGCGCAGACTGTTTTCCCGTACGAGCCCTTTCTGAGTGCACTGTTGTCGCCGGAGAGCAGGTGTCCCGAGACGGGGGGAGGGGCGCCGTGGCTCTTCTTCTTTGTCCTCACTGTCGGCGAGACTTACCTGGGTATGAGATACAGCGTAGGATTTACCTGACCTCACGTGTATGTAGTGCTAGCAGACCAGTCACACGAAGGGAATCCAGGGGCGGGTGTGTGTTGTCAAGATGGCCTCTGGGGCGGAATTTCCTGGAAGAGCGTATTTGCTGAAGGTCTGTAGCTTGGACAGTGTCCCTGGGGAAAATTTCCAGGCACAGGAGAAAGACTGATTCAGGGGCGCCTGGCTGGCATCGTCAGTGGAGCATGTGACTCTCGATCTGGGGGTTGTGAGTTCAAGCCCCATGTTGACTGTAGACATTATTTTAAAATCTTTTTTTTTTTTTTTAATTTTTTTCAACGTTTTTTATTTATTTTTGGGACAGAGAGAGACAGAGCATGAACGGGGGAGGGGCAGAGAGAGAGGGAGACACAGAATCGGAAACAGGCTCCAGGCTCTGAGCCATCAGCCCAGAGCCCGACACGGGGCTCGAACTCCCGGACCGCGAGATCGTGACCTGGCTGAAGCCAGACGCTTAACCGACTGCGCCACCCAGGCGCCCCTCTTTTAAAATCTTTAAAGGGCTCCTGGGGGGCTCAGTTGGTCGAGCATCCAGGTCACGATCTTACAGTTCATGGGCTCGAGCCCCAAGTCAGGCTCTGCACTGACAATGCGCAGCCTGCTTGGGATTCGCTTTCTCCCTCTCTGCCTCTCAAAATAAATAAGCTTAGGGGCGCCTGGGTGGCTCAGTCGGTTGAGTGTCCGACTTCGGCTCAGGTCATGATTTCACAGCTCGTGAGTTCGAGCCTTGCGTCGGGCTCTGTGCCGACAGCTCGGAGCCTGGAGCCTGTGTCTCCCTCTCTCTCTGCCCCTAACCCACTTGCATTCTGTCTCTGTCTCTCTCAAAAATAAACAGTAAGAAACAATTAAAAATAAATAAACTTAAAAAAACACAGTCTTTAAAAAAAGTGTCTGATTCAGATACCTGTTACGAGGCCACACAGACTAAAAAGAATTTTAAAGTTGAGGGAGAACTGGGGCGCCTGGGTGGCTCAGTCGGTTCAGTGTCCGACTTCAGCTCAGGTCATGATCTCGCAGTTCGTGGGTTTGAGCCCAGCATTGGACAGCTTGGAGCCTGGAGCCTGCTTCGGATTCTATGTCTCCCTCTCTCTCTGCCCCTCCCCTGCTCGCACTCTGTCTCTCTGTGTCTCAAAAAGAAATAAAAACATGAAAAAAAAGTTGAGGGAGAACTGTGAGCGCAGGGATGTTATCCCATTCATGCCAAACTTCCTAATATGTGCCTCTTCTGGAATTATAGCATCTTTTTCTGATGTATCTTAATACATACATCTATACCTGAATTACTAGAATTTTAATACATTCTGGTCAGAAATGTCTCTCTGAGTGTAAGAAGAATGATACCTGAGTTTTCTAGTTTCTTTTTGCTTGCTTTTACCAAAACGTTACCGTCGACTGTTTTCCAAAGGGACCCTCTCTGAGGAAGGACTGCTGGTGTACCTGCGGGTGCTCCAGAGCTCGCTGTCTCGGCTGCCGGCGTCGCCGGCCAGCACGAGCTGTCAGGACCCGGCCAGCGACTCGGAGGACGAGAGTGAAGAGGCGGACAAGCAGCCGAGCGCTCCGGTAAGCTCCCAGGGGCTGCACTGGAGACCACTCCCCCTGATTTTCAGGTCACTCGTAGCTTTGTGTCCGTCCTTCTTCTTAGCTGTGTGACTCCTGCACTGAAGCATTCTTGTAAAACCTTCCCGCTACAGAAAAAAGTCCCTTCCCCTCCACTGCCGCCCTGTCCTTCCCGAGGTCACCGTCCCGGCCATTAGGGAGTGAGGATAGTTCTTCCACACCTTCTCCTGCGTACAAGTCCACGTGGGGTTTTCATGCAAAGTAGGCCATACTGTGCATTAACTTGTTACTTAGGAGATATTTCCTAGAGCTGAAATTGTTGGATTGAAAGGTTAAGTTCCTAGTTTTCAGGAAGGGCATTTACTGTGCACCAAGCACTGTTTTATTTTTAAGAATTTATTTATTTATTTATTTATTTATTTATTTTTTCCAACGTTTGTTTATTTATTTTTGAAAAAAAAATTTTTTTTTTTCAATGTTTGTTTATTTTTGGGACAGAGAGAGACAGAGCATGAACTGGGGAGGGGCAGAGAGAGAGGGAGACACAGAATCGGAAACAGGCTCCAGGCTCCGAGCCATCAGCCCAGAGCCTGATGCGGGGCTCGAACTCACGGACCGCGAGATCGTGACCTGGCTGAAGTCGGACGCTTAAGCGACTGCGCCACCCAGGCGCCCCTTAAGAATTTTTTTATAGCAGCTTTATGGAGATACACTTTACCATAAAATTTACCCTTTTAAAAAAATGATGTGCAGTTCAGTGATTTCTCAGTATATTAACCTAAGTGCAGCCACCACCACTCTGATAGAGCATTTTCATGGTCTGTGCAGAAGCCCGGCCCATCAGCAGCTGCTGCCCCCCACCCTTCGCCCAACCCCAAGGGGAAGAAAAAGGTTAAGTTCTCCCTTACCCTGTCTTGTGAACGCCAAGTCACGTCTCCTGTTAATTTTTGCCAGTTTTGTGGATGGCAAGCGTAACGATTTATTTGAAAGTGAATTGCGAGTGCGTCATCACATGCAGTGTAAGTCCTTTTCTCCTGTTTCTTACTCAGCATGATCTGCAGTGTCTTTCCAAGGAATAAAAAGCTTCGCATGATACACATAATTTATGTCTTCAGTGATCTATCTGCTGCTGGCCTCTTTTGCTCTTCTTACAGAATTGAAATAACTTGAGATATGGCTGTAATAGGTTTAAATGAAACGTTATATTTTTTTGTTAGGGAATTTCCTGTTGATTAATACCAAATGGAATCCCAGGACGAATATACCGAGGAGTGGTTGGGTTTTCCAGGGGAAGTCAGTGAAAGGCTTGTTAGTACTGCCTTCTGGACACACATAGCTCTGTTAGCAGAGATGAAAACAGTGCTCACAGTACGAGAACACGTTAGTCATTGCCCTAAGCTTATTGGCTGGGGGAAGGGCTGGTTGATTACAGAGGGGCCGAACGGAATGTTTCGGTGGGTGCTGGGACTCCTGCACCCGTCCAAGCTCAGAACTGCACACCAAAATGTGAATTTTTCTTACGGTACAAAAAAGAAAAAGTGGGATTCTGTAGCTGGAACGTAGATAAAACTTTTGTTTTTATTTTAATTTTATTTTATTAAAAAAAAATTTTTTTTTTTTAGCATTTATTTACTATCGAGAGACAGAGAGACACAGAGCATGAGCAGGACGGGGCAGATAGAGGGGGAGACACAGAATCCGAAGCAGGCTGCAGGCTCCCGAGCTGTCAGCACAGAGCCTGACGGGGGGCTCGGAACTCACAAGCCGCGAGATCATGACCTGAGCTGAAGTCGGACGCTTCACCGACTGAGCCACCCAGGCGCCCCATAGAAGACATTTTTTTTAATGCTTAATTACCTTCCAGAGGATCTGTGAAATTAAAATGCTGTTTATACACAATATAATTGGTACCTATGTGAAGGATGGGGCTACGTCTGTCTTCTGGAGGGATGTTAGGAAACCCCTCCTCACTGGGGACACAGACGTGACAGTGGGATATGAAGACACAGGAAGCAGAAAACACTGAGCTCACTTGCTCGTGGTTACAGTTTTATAATATGTAAAAAGTGCAGCTTGATTTTGTTACCTACATTCGGGGGGGGGGGAATTTTACTCCACTTTATTTCTCTTGTGTAATACACAAGGGTTTCAAGGTCTGTTTTATTAGATATATAACTTTGTACTTCCATTTCTTTTTCACTCTTTTTCTCTTCATTTTTCCCTGGCCTTGGTTATTATCACTTCTTTCCTGTCCACATTTGGGTTCACAACCAGTGACCCGGGTGTAGGCCAGGTACTTACAGACTGACTTAAAATCTTTATTTTTGGGTCACATCTTCTGATGGCTGCTTATACATTGCCTTTTCTTTCCTATGATAATTATTTAGATTCTAATTTGATCAAATAGGATTTTTCCAGAGTTAGGCTTCACTGTTTTTTTTTTTAAATTTTTTTTTTAATCTTTATTTATTTTTGAGAGAGAGAGAGAGACAGAGTGAGAGCAGGGGAGGAACAGAAAGAGAGGGAGACGCAGAATCCGAAGCAGGCTCCAGGCTCCAGGCTCCGAGCTGTCGGCACAGAGCCCAGTGCGGGGCTCAAACCCATGAACCGTGAGATGATGACCTGAGCCGAAGTCGGACGCTTAACTGACTGAGCCACCCAGGCGCCCCCAGACTTCACTGTTTATAGACTCTTGGGTTTCTGTGTAATTGGTTCAGTTCTTTGTGTGTAATTTACTTCAAATGTGTGCACTACTAAATAGTACCAGTGTTCTAACTCCTTTCATTAGGTGCATGTTATTTACAGATTTGAGGTTGGCAGGTAGAATTTATTACTTTTATCTAAAGCAATGTTTTATTTGGTAGATTATTATAAATTACATAGATTATACCAGTCTAAGTTTCCAAGCAGGGCAGTCAACAATATCCAGTGTTGTGTATATATGTTCATATTAATATATACTTGGATATATGCATACATCTATGAAACAAGGATATATCTTTGATTAATACCCCAAATAGGTAAATGCGTAACATCTTAGTTCAGGTTTTAATCGGTGAATCAGATCTTTAAAGAAATTAAGATAGAAAAAAATAAATTCTTTGATACCCTATTTTTGCTTAACCTGTGATCTAAATGATTTAAAGTGGAGGTTCTGTTTGTTATGCTGGGCAAAATTAGTGCCTAAGATAGACAGTGACTATGGATCTCTGGAGAATTTGATTCGGAGAGAGATTGATACGTTCGTTGTGATGTGGGTAACTTTTAGGTAATGGCTCTTTCGTATTTTTACTTGAAGAAAAGTAAGATGTTATGTGTGTTGGGAGCGTAGAGGGTCATTTCTAATAACACGTCGTTCACTTAGAGCAGTTTATCTGGTGTGTTTTAGGAGGATGGGAGGCTGTCCGTACCTTACATAACAGAGGAGTGTCTGAAGAAGTTGGACACGAAACAGCAGACCAACACCCTGTTAAACCTGGTCTGGCGGGACTCAGCCAGCGAGGAGGCCTTCGCTCTGATGGCGTCCATCGGCCACACGCTTATGGTGCAGCATCGGATGGCGGTGCCCAAAGTCAGGCAAGTCTCCGCTGTGGTCACCATGTGAACACCAAAGTGCGCTTTCCTCCCCCCGGTGGTTTGCCCGGGCTTCATCTGTGTCCGCTTTATGTGCTGTTGTTGTTTTTATTCTTTATTTATGTTTGAGAGACAGACAGACAGAGTGTGAGCTGGGGAGGAACAGAGAGACAGGGAGACACAGAATCTGAAGCAGGCTCCAGGCTCCGAGCTGCCAGCACAGAGCCCCACACGGGGCTCGAACGCACAAACCGTGAGATCATGACCTGAGCCGAAGTCAGATGCTTAACCGACTGAGCCACTCAGGTGCCCCTTATCTGCTGTTTTTTAAAGTTTATTTATTTATTTAGAGAGAGAGAGAGAGAACGTTAACCTTACACCTTAAAGAGCTGGAAAAAGAATAGCAAATAAAACTCCAAACCATCAGCAGACGGGAAATAATAAAGATTAGACCAGAAATCAATGCTATTGAAATTATAAACAAAAACAGTAGAAGAGATCAGTGAAAGCAGGAGCTGGTTCTTTGAAAGAATTGACAAAATTGATAAACCCTTATTAGCCAGTTTGGTAAAAAAGAAGAAGGAAAGGACCCTAGTAAATAAAATCAAGAATGAAAGAGGAGAGATCGCAACCAACACAGCGGAAATACAAACAATAATAAGAGAATATTACGAGCAATTATATGCCAATAAGTCGGGTAGTCTGGAAGAAGTGGACAAATTCTTAGAAACATACAAACTATCAAAACTGAAATGGGAAGAAATAGAAACTTTGAGCAGACCTGTCACCAGTAAAGAAATTGAATTCGTAATCAGAAATCTCCCAAAAAACAAGAGTCCAGGGCTGGATGGCTTTCTAGGGGAATTCTACCAAACGTTCAGAGAGAAAGAGAGCAAGCAGGGGAGGGACAGAGAGAGAATGGAGAGAGGATCCCACGCAGGCTACACGCTGCCAGCCTGATGCGGGGCTTCAACTCATGATCCGTGAGATCGTGAGCTGAGCCGAAACCAAGGGTCAGACACTCAGCCGACTGAGCCCCCCCCCCCCCAGGCACCCCTGCCCGCTACTTTCTGATGAGATATGATACAGAATATTCAAGTGTGCAGGCGTTTCGTGGAAAATGAAAGTTTGTTTTTCTTTTCTAAACCAACTGATCCTTTGTGAGTCTGTTTCCCTGGCCTGTGAGGCTTTCAAGTGGCCTGTAAATAAGCTTGTTTTCTTAGAGTATCTTGGCAGCGGAAGTGGAGTTTAGTCTTAGCCACCTTTTTAGACATTGGATTCAAGGCCCCTGGGTGACTCAGTCAGTTGAGTGTCCTGCTCTTGATTTCAGCTCAGGTCATGACCCCAGGGTCATCGATCAGGCCCCACATCGGGCTCTACTCCAGGTGTGGAGCCTACCTAGGCTTCTCTGGCTCTACCTCTGCCCCTCTCCCCTGCTCACGCACTCTCTCTTTCTCTCTGAAATGAAATGAAATGAAATGAAATGAAATGAAATGAAATGAAATGAAATGAAATAATGAAATGAAATAATGAAATGAAATAAATGAAATGAAATGAAATAATGAAATGAAATGAAATAATGAAATGAAATAAATGAAATGAAATCAAATCAAATCAAATCAAATCAAATCGGGGCACCTGGGTGGTTCAGTCAGTTAAACGTCTGACTTGCTCAGGTCATGATCTTGCGGTTCTTGAGTTCAGGCCCCATGTCGGGCTCTGTGCTGTCAGCGCAGAGCCTGCTGGGGATCCTCTGTCCCCCACTCTCTGCCCCACCCCTGCTCACTTTCTGTCTGTCTCTCTCTCTTTCTCAAAAATAAATATTACAAAAAAAAAAAAAACAAAACCATTTGAACCTAAGGTTTAAAAGTAAATAAATAAAAATAAAACAAAGTCTATTTCAAACAAACAAACAAACAGACAAACCCATTGGACTCATGCCTGCATTGTAGACCCGGTATGTTACATGTCTCTTCGGCTTCCCTGTAGGACTTTTTACCAGCTTGCCCTTGACAACTTACTCCAGCACTCTGACATTTTTGTTTTTCTAAACTTTGAAATAAGCTTTTGGAAGGGACAAAACAACACATACAAATTAAAATGTGGCTGATTTGTGTTTAGGTAAGTGTGCCTATAATCTGGAAACATTTTTCTTTACTTTGAGCGATAGGTTAGTGGTTGCTTGAAAATTTAACAGAAAAGTATTTAACAGAGCACATGGGGCAGAAATCCGCACTGGCCCCGGTAGGGGCTAAGGGACCCGTGTCGTCTAGCGGCCTGCTGAAAGGCGCTGTCTGTTGTTGGTAACTCTTGTGTTATGTCAGATGATTTATGTTACCCTAAAGAATCCTCTTCTGGTTTTGTAAAATGCTGTCCTGTAACATGAAAAGAGCTGTTTCTTTTGGCTGGGAAAGCATTCTTTGAAATGAACTGTATGCGGAGAACACATCATCAGCTGAAACTGCCTTGTAAACACTAATACAGCCAGCTAATTAGGTGCTGTCTTAGCCCCGGTGTTTATTACTGCTGGAGGAAGTAAGAGGGCAGTGAGACTGCCACCCCTCGGTTAGGTAATTAGCTCTCTGTAGGCTAATTGCATTAGAGCAGGATGTGAGTTCTGAGGATCATAGCAGCCGAACTGGGACGCTCGCTTTTATTGTCGCACAAAGTCCACTGCTTTGGACAGTAATTACTGGAGTTAAATGCACCAGTGCCCTGCTCTGAGGTTCGCTGGTGAACTGTTTCCAAAAGGTGTTTAATGGGTAAAGGAGCTTTATACGTAGCCTTTTTTATGAGTACAGCACCTATTTCCTCTAAGAAACTACTCTAGGAATTTTATTTATGGTTTAAATATATTAGGGTTTAAGTATTTAGAATGTTTTTCTTAGCTCATGAAAGCAAATAGGCTTACTCTAACTGTTGTAGATTTTAACTGCTTTCAGGTTTTGTGGGTTGTTGTTGTTTTAAGGTATTTAAAAGATGATTAGTAAATTCCAGGGCCGATAACTCACTCTCAGCGCCTCCCAGGCTTGTATAAATCCCTCCTATTTTCAAGGTTGGGATTTGCAGTCCTAATTTCTGTTTAATGTTGATTGTCAGGATGTTTTTTTTTTTTCTTCTTTTTTTTCTTTTTCTTTTTCTTTTTCTTCTGATTGTCAGGATGTTAGAGGAATATGAAAGCCCTTTTTACATTGATGTGGTAAGATTTCCAAGGTATATGTTCAAGTGAAAAAAAGGAAGATACAGAATATAAATAATAACCTACTTTTGTGTCAGAAATGTGGAAAAAGGAGAAATGTTTTTTTGTATTGGACGCGTACACAGGAAATTCACAAAAATGAGTATTCACATGTCTGGCTGTGCTTTGGGGACCAAGGCGGGGGCAGCACAGACTTTTTGCCATTTCTTTCTGATACGGTTTTGAGTTCCAGGTCATGCGAATTACTTAAATTTTTAACAGCGCCATAATAAGTGAGTTTGCCACCGACTTTTATGAGAGAAAATTTGTAAATCTTACCAGTGGACTTGGGAATTCGAATAAATATTTGGATGTAAAACTAGTTTTTCCTTAAGAAAATGTATTCTTGGTGCCTGGCTGACTCAGTGCAGTGTGCAACTCTTGATCTCCAGGTCGTGAGTTCAAGCCCCACGTTGGGTATAGAGATTACTTAAAAATAAAATCTTTGGGGCGCCTGGGTGGCTCAGTCGGTTGAGCGTCCGACTTCGTCTCAGGTCACGATCTCACAGTGCGTGAGTTTGAGCCTCGTGTCGGGCTCTGGGCTCACAGCTCGGACCCTGGAACCTGCTTCGGATTCTGTGTCTCCCTCTCTCTCTGCCCCTCCCCCCACTCACACTCTCTCTCTGTCTCTGTCTCTCAAAAATAAATATTAAAATTAAAAAATAAAAGTAAAATAAAATCTTAAGAAAGAAAGTGTATTCACTCTTTTTAATATGAGTAAATACTAAGTGGCCATGTGGTGAGAAGGAAAAGAAAGAAGTCAGTCTCCCAGTATCCAGAGAAGTAAGCCCAGCAGAGTGAGCATTAAGTGGACACTTGGGGGTGGCCAGTGTCCAGCGCCCAGCTCTAACCCTGGCTGACTCCGAACCTGGCTTGGTGGGCAGTGGGTTAGTGTTTTCATCGAATGGAGTTCTGTTGCTCGGAAGCGTTGCGGGTTGAGCCGAGGACGGTGCCCTTCTGCCCGTCGGTGGCCGCGCCTCACCCCGCTGAGCACAGACACCCCAGTGCCCCTCCAGCGTCCCCCCCTCCCGTGACCTTCTGCACGGCGTCTGCCCCTCCTCTTTCTTCTTGAACCTCCTTCACCCATCACCTTCGCAGATGCTGTTCTCGGGAAGTTTCCTTTGCTGCTGGGCTTTTTCTCCGTTTCCTCCGCGGGCGGCTCTTTGTCTCTGTGTTTCAGCGTTTCCTGAACTTCTTTGACTCGCTTCTTTTGCTCGTCACTTCCTCAGTGTTGTCCCACTTATTTGCTTCTCTGAGTGGTAGAAGTGGCTTCAGCCACGTTTGGGAACTCCAGACTCCTGTTGAACTGCTTAACGGGGGCTGTCCTCAGCGCATTCTACACTGCCTCAGATTGAGTTGAGCATTTTTCTCCGAAATCTGGGGCTCACGCTGGGGAGCCACTAGCAAAATGAGGCTGCTTCGCTTCAATTCAGATGAAATAAAAATACAAACCCAGTTCCTCGGCCCCACCGCCTGCCACATTTCAAGTGCTCAGTAGTCACGTGTGGCTGGCCAGCGGCCACCGCGTCGGATCGCGCGGCAGAGACCCTTTCCGGCATCGCAGAAAGTTCTGTTGGACCGCGCTGCTGTGGCCTTGGGCTTGGATTCGCTCCTTTCTTGGTAATCCCCCACATGCATTCAGTCCCTGTGGTGCGTGGGTGCTGTATTCTCTGTGCCCCGTGTCGCCAGAGACACAACCCTGTTACTCTCCGGCTCAGGTGTCCGCCTGGCGTCCCCTTTGCTTTCAGGAAAAATTCACATTCCT